GAGCGAATTCGGAGCATTTGGCACGACCAGTTTCGCTCAGAACGGGCTCGAACTTCGCTCTCACCGGAATCTCATTCTCTTCGCCATCGCTTGCCCTGGCAAACGCTCAGACCGCTGAGCCCGGACGGATCTTTATCCAGGTCCTCGTCCCTCATGCCACCATCCGGCCAGTCGGGCCGCGATGGCCAAGGACGGATGAAGCGTCGGAAGCTGGACACCGACGATAACCGTGAGGAATTTCGAGGCTTCAACTACGGTCAATATGGACAAGTAGTACCGGGAATGCTACAAATGGAAATTGCCAGCTGCGACGGCGGAAGCTACGATCCGAATAGCGGGTGTTCGCGTCCCGAGAACGTTTTGGATAACAACACAAGTGTATACTCTACCAAAGAGGCCCGCTGCAACCTCGTCCTCTGTCATCGGGACGAGGCCCCGTTCTGCTTGAAGAAGATCGTGATCCGAGCCCCTCAATGCGGGTTCGATGCTCCGTATGTCCAGCAGGCGTGTCTGTACGTTGGAATGATGGCTAATTACGGCTAATCAAACCAGAATACAAGAAGGCATGGTCTTCGTCGCCATGACCTCTGATGAACTGCTTGCCCGCACCGCCCAATACCAAATTCAATACTCCAGCGGCCGATACCGCCGACGAGGCCGCCGCAGTGGCATGCAACCATCCCAAGAATACCTCACTGGGTTCCGACCACCACTTCAAAACCTCGAACGAACAGTCCTCATGAGCCCACATTCAGCCGCGGTTCCGCATGCCGCAGAAGACCCGCAAGCGCAGTTCCGCATCACCACCGAGTACGATGAAAATAACGAAGATTTTGGAGAGGACGAAGACTGGCGCTCTGCATTGCTCGAGAGAAGCCTGGCCGAACAGACCGAGGATCCTTTATCGGATACCGACGAGAGTCCAAGCGATGAAGAGGGGTCCTCAGGCAGACATCAGCGTCGCCCACGGGTTGAATATGAACGACTGGATGCTCTCAGCCGTGCCACCGAGCAGAGAGTACGCCGTGGCCCAAGTCTTGTGCATCCTAACCCCCAGCTGAGCCTACTCAGCCAGTTGCCGAAGTTCTGAAGCCACATGCGCGCTTCTTTATCGAGCGAGAGAAGAGCATGGTTACCATAAAATTTGATCCGCCTCCGTATGTACCATCAGTATTGGATGTGGAGAACCAAATACTGACGATTCAAGATCTGGTCGGTTCATTCTCATTAAGCTCTGGAGCCCGCGGGCCCATGGGAATATTGATATCGAAAGCATCATCGCACATGGGTATGCAGGTCCGCGGTTCTTCCCAAGTATCGCTGCTCGCTAGCGGTGGAAATATGGAGTTTTAAGGCGTGTTTTTTTTTTTTCCGGATCAGAGGGATAGAAGCTTTGTTTTTTTATTTCGTCCATAGTTTCCGTCTATAGTTTTTCGGCCAGGATTTCTTACTAGTGCTACGACGACGTTATGAATACTTATGATATGGCTTTCCGAATTCTCCATTTGTCTAAGTTCTATGCAATCTATAGAGATCACACTTAGTATGTGGGAGAAAGGTCCACGGGTATCTGGTAATGTCCCTTTATTAGAACCAGAAAGTAGTGGCCATTAACTAGACTAACTAGTATCTCTAACTAATAGCCTTTATATGAACATTTCTAAAGCATCTTCATGTCTTCTAGATGAATGGACCATGTTCTCTCAGATTTCACGGTGTACTTCGGAATGTGGGGGAGGCATATGGGAGATGCGGACATTGCCCTATTTGTTTAAACGATAATACCTACAATGAGCTGTATGCTGCATGCTATCCCAGATCCTGTAGACCCTGGCAGTCCTCGATATTCTCTATCCCGAAATTAGGTACCTAGATAGGCATCTTTCCAGCAATTACTACAGCCACGACCTACACCCCGTCGCCAACTACGTCCATCACAGCGGCAATGACAGCGGCGATGAAAGTGTGGACCTATAGAACCTACTCAACACCACTGGCCTAGGCAGCATCGTTACATGCATGCCGCTCTATAAATTGCAATTTGTCATTTGGAGAGAGGCTCAGCAGTAATGCAGTAGAGATGAGGTTCAGGCTATGTCGCATGCCATGTGGCTCAATGAGCGTTGAGTCTCACCATCTCCCTCGGGCTAGATTCCTATCGAATTGATCGACGCCAAGGTAGTGGGGTCGGGGGTCCCCGGTGTCCTCTCGGCTATGCGCATCAATAGCTTGCAGCTTGATCAAAGGCAAATTGCACCTGTATAATGAAAGGATCATTCGGCAATATTCTCCACCAATTCAAGGGAGTCAGACCCGTGGCAATCTATGATCTGCTACGCGTTTGGATCAGTCAAACAGGCAACGGCCATCGGCGCATTCGGGATATCAGCATTAGGAGTGAGATCTGCATATCATCGCCACAGCGTCACTAAAGATGCATAGCGAAGATGTGTTGGCTTGATTTTAGGATCATAAAGAGCCACATGAAGCCGAGTCATGTCTCCTTATACCCTGCTTAGCGCGATTAGCTAGAGATATACTAAATAGAAAAGCTGACCAATGAGAATAGAATTCCAGGAACCGAAGGAACCCCGAACCGGCGTCATGCCTGATCTAACGGACGTTGGGGTTAAGGGAGCCAATCTGAAACATGAGCACTAATGCACGGCTCTGGAAATGGTTCGGAAACGGTTACCAACGTATAGGAACCGTTTTGAACCGTTTCACCCATTTGAACGCCCTTCGAAAATCATTCTGTTTTACATCTGGCGCAATGTTCATGCCGGACAAATACATCAAAGCTGCAGCCTCAAAGTATGGGAGTTCCCTGCATTGATTAGTGTGGGGGCTCCAGGTTGAATTTCATTCTGCGCTATCAAATATTATTAGAATAGCTTATAAAGTCTCTGGGTTTGGGGGTGGAACACGTACTTTTGAAAATAGCTCTAGCCCATGTCTCGGACTAAGTAGCCCCGCTGTACATAGTAGATGTGAACGAAACCCGTTGGGAGCGCTGGGTAGCAATACCCGGGTGTATAGGATATCGGATATGGGAATAAAAACAAGGCATTTTTGAGGCGTTAACTCCAGTTAACTTCCCCGAGGCTTTTTCCCCTGATGACGAGACCCGTTAGCCTGTTTGGGGTTTAAACGGCTCAGCGCGGGGCTCATTGCGCATATGCAATACAGGAAGATGTAGTTAGCTGCAGAGAAATAAAAAAGTCTATCCGAGAGCGAAAGAGTGGATGTAAGGGAGAGAGAGAGAGAGAGAGAGCTCTTCCCCCCCCAAGTCAGGTGTTCCCTTCCCGCTTTATTAATCTTTCTTACTTCTCGACTTCCATCTTTACTTTCTCTCTTCTCTAATTTTACCTGGTTCCATTCCTAGCAGACAGATATCCCCCCCCCCCCCCCCCCCCCCCATACCATGCGTATCACCGTTAGCGTCATCCGCCCCGAGCAGGCGGACTCGGACATCATCAATCTAGAAGTGGGCAGCGACATGACGATCAGTCTTCTGAAAACCATTGTCGAAAGTGAAACTACCATCCCACCTCAAGCCCAACAACTCGTCTATAACAACCAACTCCTCCAGAACCCCGACCAAACACTAGATCAAGCTGGCATTACCGAGGGCGACATGCTCGGTGTGCACGTCACCCTCCGAGCTCCCCAATCCCAAACCCCTCGCCCCGCCGCTTCCAGCTCCGTCGCGCCCAGACAAAACACTCAACCCCGCCCCGGCATGCCAGACCCCGAAACTATTCGTCTACATATTCTGGGTGACCCCCGCGTGCGCGAGGCCGTCCGCAGGCAGAACCCGGAGCTGTCTGATGCGGCGGATAATGCTCAGCGCTTCCGTGAGGTTCTGCTTAGGCAGCAACAGGGTGAGGCGCAGCAGGAGGCACAGAAGGAAGCTCGTATTGCAATGCTCAATGCCGATCCTTTCAACCCCGATAACCAAAAGGAAATCGAGGAGATTATTCGCCAGAATGCTGTTACGGAAAATCTACACAACGCCATGGAGCATCATCCCGAGTGTACGTTTCCACGTCTTCAAATTTGGATTGAGAATGAACTGAAAGCTAACCAAACTCGGTTTCTCTAGCCTTCGGTCGCGTGACAATGCTCTACATCCCCGTCGAAGTAAACGGCCACCGTCTAAATGCCTTTGTCGACTCCGGCGCCCAGGTGACCATCATGTCGCCCGAGTGTGCAACATCGTGTAACATAATGCGCCTGGTAGACCGTCGCTACGGCGGCATTGCCAAGGGTGTCGGGACCGCCCCGATCCTGGGCCGGGTTCACTCCGCCCAGATCAAGATCGGCGAGATGTTCCTGCCCTGCTCCTTCACCGTCATGGAAGGCAAGCAGATCGACCTGCTCCTGGGCTTGGACATGCTCCGTCGACACCAGGCCTGCATCGATCTCCAGCGTGGTGCCCTCGTCATTCAGGACCAGGCTGTCCCCTTCCTCGGGGAGGGCGATATCCCCAAGCATTTGACAGAAGAGTTCGAGGCCGAACCTACAGTCAAAGGCGCCGATGGTGCCGAAGTGGGTGCCCGCACTGGCGCGGTCACGCATAAAGCTGAGAACAACCCCAACGCCAATGCCACGGCCAATAATAATGCGTCCGCCTTTGAGTCCGGGTCCGCGTCAGGGTCACAGCCAAGAATCAATATCCGACCTGCGCCGGCACCGCCTGCTTCGCGGTGGCCGCAAGACTCGATTGCCAAGATCATAGAGATGGGATTCTCGCGTGAGGAAGCTGTCCAGGCTCTAGACATGGCACATGGAGACCTGGACGGGGCGCTCGGGTTTTTGTTTTGATCTATGGCTGGGTTCTGCATTTACATTCGAGGGCGTTTTGGTCGGGATGGGAACTTGTATTAGCGAGATTTGATCAAAGCACGTAATGATGTGTACGATTATAACGCTGGCATTATAATAGATTTGTTTATTTTGTCTATATGTAACTCGGTGAGTGTGTATGGAGTAGATGTTTACTCCCGTTTGCTTTTGGGCATTAGTTTGTCGCGTAGACGGAATACCATATCTAGAGCCATGAACCCGCCTATCATGTGTTAGTAAATCACATGTCAAACCTTGGACTGTACATACCTAACGCCATATAGGGAGCATATAGCATGCTCAGCTGCTGCTTCTCGGCGACGGAGCGATCGGTCCAACTCCATACAACCACCAAAGATGTCAGCGTGGTGATGAATGACTGAATACCGAAGACGAGGAGGTGCACGGGGACGAGGGGATGATCTGAGATTGGAATTTAGTTTGCATTTTTGGTGATGTCATTTTTCCAGTTATCTCCGGGAGAATAAGGATATGTAAGTCAAGTTTGAGTGCATTTGATATGAATATGTATTAGATATAAGATTTGATGTAGGGGATGGATAGGATAGACACGGATATAGATACATGTACGAGTTTGAGAAAGAGTAAATACCTTTATGCAAACCCCAAACCGCCCATATCGAGATTGGGAGGTGGTACAGCAGCTCCATCCAGATGAAGACGGTGAACCATGTTGGTGGATCTTCGAAGAATTTGTCGCGGTAGGTTGTTATGTAGAAGTCGCGGAGTTGGTGGGAGAGATTTGTATGGAGGATGGTGGGTTGGAGGGGGACGGTATCGATTACTGTGTTTGTGTTAGTGCAGGTATGAAGATTATCGAGATAGAGCGTACGGAGAATGATCGGGACGTGGATGATGAAAAATAGGAGATAGGCCCAGTCCCGTTTACGTGTGCAGGACATTTTTTGATGTGCTGGGTCATATGCAGAAGATCAGGGTAGGGGTGTAGGGGTGTATTCCGTAGGTGTATACTCCGTAGGCGTACTCCGTGTAGGGGTGTAGGGGGTGTAGGGGTAGATGTTTTGATTTTAGGGGTAGAGAGAATCAGGTGACCAAGGAACAATCTGGAAGATATAGAAGATATATAGTTTTATAATTGCTTTTTCCTGTTATTAGTGTAATGTTAATATTTAGAGGTTAAAATAGTTACTATACTATAGATTATTAGACTATAACTATATTACTACCTAAGTATACTGTATAGATCTATAATCTCACCGCTTCTCTCAATTTCAAGGTGGCCTGACTTCGGGGAGAAGTATAGATTACTCTCAAAGGACCTTGGATGCCAAATCTTACAATTACATCATTGGATAAGGTAGACATGCAGGGATGTTCGATAGGTCAAAGGGTATATACATCGGAAGTAGACCGCAACATCGGTATGCCCTAATTAGCTCAGGACAGGGTGTTCTTCCTGTTCTTTTTTTGTTCTAATTTTCTTGCTTTTCCTGCTTTTTTTTCTTCATTTTCTTCGTTTTCTTCCGTTTCCTCTTAATTTCCCCTTTTCTCCTTAGAACTTCCTAAATAGTTCTACTTGCGCCGAGGAACGGAACACCCCATGCCGAATCATAATCTCCGTATGCATAGATCATGGCAGATAATGCAATTGCTATTCGGCCTGCATTATGCCTTATCTTCGAACTATTCAACCTTACATAGCGGTGTAAGACTATAGAAGCTATAGAATTTAAAAAAAAATAAAAAAATAAAAAAAAAGTGGGCGAACGGTAGTGGCATAGTGGCACGGTGGAAGGGGGGATTTGCAGTGGATAAGTGGATTGACATGGATTGACATGGATTGACTGGATTTACTGAATTTCCTTATTATTTCCTCTTCTCTGACCGCTGTTCAATGTCTTCCACTCGGAGATGAAGGGAAAGTGACTAGTGTTTTACTTTGATATAGGAGTATAGATATATAAAGACATTCCCATCCCCCCCCTGATCCATCTTTCCCTCTCCAGATACTCCACTCTATATCTATACTATCTATACAAGATGCCTTCCTCAGCCCCCGTTCGTTCCAAACATCCCAAAAAGGAAGAACCAATCAGTTATGATATCAATATCCCCTACGTCGATGTAGACAAACAATCCAAGATCTCAACCAAATACCCCCAATACCTCCCCTCTTGGGATCCAATCTGGTTCGATCCTCTTCAACCCTTCGAATATGAAGATCCAGCTCTGCGCGTCCGCAACAAATCAAAACCAAACCTCCTTCCCCCATCCGCAAAAGTCTCCCACATCCAGCCAAGCCTAGGAACAATCGTTGAAAACGTCCAACTCTCCTCCCTCTCCGCCGCAGGAAGAGATGAACTCGCCCTCCTCATCACAGAGCGCAAGGTCGTCGCCTTCCCAGATCAGGACCTTATCGATGCTGGCCCAGATGCCCAGGAATCCTTCATGCGCCACTTCGGTAAACCAAACTACCAGCCCGTCTCCGGTTCCATGACAGACCACCCCGCTTTCCATATCATTCATCGTGACGGAAATAGAGATGAAATCACTCGTTTCTTGCAACAGCGCACGACAACGACCCTCTGGCATCAGGATGTTAGTTATGAAATCCAGCCTCCCGGTTATGTCATGCTTGGCCTCCTGCAGGGCCCCGAAGTCGGCGGTGATACCGTTTTCGCGGCTACAGATCTAGCCTATAAGCGTCTCTCACCGGCTGTCACAGGTTTCCTGGATGGGTTGAAGGTTACTCATTCCTCAGCCAAGATGATTGGTCATGCTCGCTTGACGGGTGGCTTGGTCAGAAAGGATCCCGTTGATACGGTCCATCCGCTTATCCGCGTACACCCCGTGACCGGTGAGAAGTGTATGTTTTTGAATGGCGAGTTTATTACGAGAATTCATGGTCTTAAGGATTCAGAGACTAAATGGGTCTTGGATTTCCTTATGAATCATTTGGTTACCGGTCATGATTTCCAAGTTCGGGTGCGTTGGCAACCGAGGACAATTGTGATGTTTGATAATCGGTCAACTATTCGTGAGTTTTTTTTTTCTTTTTCTATTTGGAATATCCCCTGTTAAAGATCCCTGCTAATATTTTTGATCTTAGACTCGGCTATTGTTGATTATTTGGATGATGATTACGGTGCCAAGGCTCGTCATATCTTCCGTTTGATTGCTCTAGGTGAAAAGCCCATTCCGGTGTATGAGGATGAAGTTGATGAATTCGAATAAACTGCATAATGTGATAGAATGGTCGGTGTTTCGGGTTTGAATTTATAGATTTTAATTTGGTTAATTATAATTTGTTTTTTTTTTTTTGGAAATATTCATTGTAATGTTAAAAAAAAAATTGGTGAATTCGTTTTCATTACCACCCTCACGCCTTAAGAGTACAAAACCAAACCCCCCCAAATATGTCAAATAAATCTCTGCAATACACGCTTTACCGTAGAATGTCATCGATCCGTGACCGCAAGTCATGAGCAACCTCCAACTGCTCCCCACTAATGACACCGCTCTGTTGCAGGATCAGCAGCATCTCAGAGACCCGCTCGGCAACGATATCCGACCCGAAAACCATGCCGCCCAGGCGCACGGTCTCATGGAACCAGCCATTCAGCAGGTACAACAAGTCGTGTGCGATAAATCGGCGGTTTGACCCGTGGAAGGGCGCCTCGTCGGTGTAGTACATCGTCTCCAGCACCGCGTACAGGGATTCGTGCGCCACGCCAAGATCGATAAAGAGATCCACCACCCAGGTTGCTGGGCCGACATTACGCTGGAACTCCAGTGCATACCGCTCCAGCATAGGGACGAGCTCACGGATGGGGAAAATGGTTTCGGACATCCGGAGGCGACTGCCGAGGCTGCGGACTTTGTCGATCACCGCTTCGTAAGGTTGCGGTGAGCCGTGCTGAACGGTGGCGTCATGGACCCCCTGGATCAAGTGTTGCCAGGTGGACTTGACGTCGGCTGCATTGCGATGGTCGGCTTGGTAGAAGATTTGAAGACAAATGTCATGGTAGCTAGCCGAGTCGGCGTATTTATTGAATAGCTGGAAAAAATGTTAGCATGCTTTAAAATCGGATTTGCAGGGCAAACCCCAGAATGCGGAACTTACTGTACTAATGTCCATCACTGGTCCATCGACTTCGCGCAGGATCTCGGGTTTCCGCTCGGGGAGAATCCGGTCGTCATCCTTGAGTCTTTGAAGTAGGTCATCCTGAATATTGGCCACATCAATGAGGTTCGAAATCTCTTGCAGCAGTCGCTGCCTTGACTGACGCCCAACATCCGGTGTGAAAATGGAAGCGTTCGCGCGGGCTTGACCAAGGTACTCAATACGCCGACTCAATGGCAACACGAAAGCACTATTGGCCAGGTGAAACTGAACCTGTGCAGTCTCGAAAAATCGTTGGGACTGGGCATAGAAGCGCCAGAGTAGATCAGCATGGCCCAGATCATCGTTCGACTTGCGCTGGAGGTAGGTGACCACAAAGGGCGATTGGGTCTGCAGCAAGCGATCGTTCCAGCCCTGCTCGAGGTACCAGTCGTACAAACTCGTCAGGAATACCTCATCGGTGGAATCGGAGATCACGCCATAGGCCTCGTTTTGGCGTTTGGCAATTGTGGTCAGCTGGCCATCAATGAGACCGGGATCAGATGCAGCCAATTTGTCAACCGCAAGCACGACTTTGAAGATGAGGTCGTAGCACTGTTTGCGGAAATAAAAGTATTCCTTACGGGGGTCCTGGGTAGTTGTGAGCGTCAGCGAGCGCTGGGATCCATAGGGAAAAAGGGGGATAAGCACCTGTTCGGGACGCTGATCCATGATCCAGGAATAGGCAAGGTTTGACTTGTCGGACCGAGCAGCAACATTGAGGGCAAGCTGAATAGCACCTAAAAGAAAGATAACAACCCCAATTAGTATGAGATAGCAAAGACCAAGGATCACACAGCATACCTGCAAAGAACTGGTTGACAATGAAATTGTCCACAGCCGAAACCAGATAATCCATAGGTAGACATTCTGCCACCTGCTGGAAGAGATGCAGACTCTCATTAAGCAAGTTGCGGCCCAATTCTGTATTAGCACCGGCCTCAGTCGCACGCTTCAGCATCTCTTGTGCCTTGAAAATCACCACATCCTCTGTACTGCAGAAACTGCCACATCGTCGTCGAAGTGCATCAGCCACGGTCTCGACGTTGGAGCCCTTGGCGATGTTCCGGTTGACAATGCCCTTCACGAGTTCCTTGGCAATGTCATGTCCCTTGCTGGAGCTGAAGAGTTCCTCAAAGGTGAGGCTGAGGAACTTTGCTTTCGACTCAGCTGGCAAAGTCGCCACAATCTCATCAACCCGCTCATCAAATAGGACAAGTATAAATGAGATACCTTCGATGGTGTGCGACACCAACTGAACGAGTGAGTGTAGAGCGCGGTGCTCGGCTTGCAGCGCCACTTCTTCTTGCTTGCTGTTTACCCGGGCAAGAGCGTCGGGGCCGTTGAGCCCATCGATAAAGGTCTTGTTCACCTTGAAAAACTCTGCCAATGAAGAGAGATCATGCTGGACAGTCTGCAATTTACTGGAACTCACGGACGCGGAAACGGATTGTGCGCCATTAGGTCCATTGCCCACCTTGGCAATCCTCTCCTTCCAGATAGATCGCAAGAGACGGGCGATGTATAGTGCAATACCCGTGTGTCGAGGAGAGGGCTGCACTGCGTCGAGAACAGACGTTGAGCCATCTGCAATAGCATTTTCATTCAGATGAGCTCGACCACCTTGGGTGATGAAGGCCTGGCGTGCTGCTGCCAGGATGTCCGGATCGGTAATTCGGGTCAGTCTTTGGTCAGGGGAAATCTCCATACCCTGGCCACAAGCCACTGCCAGGGCAGTCGCCAGCATCTCGCTCCGTCCATATGTTCTAAGGAAATTTTGGATCTCTCCGGACATTCCCTCGTGGGGATTGCCGCTGCTGCGGAGCAAAGCCGCAAAGATATCCACGAGACGACGCCGACGAATGATATGAACTCCACCATTAGTCAAGATCGCGATCTCAGCAGCCGGGTGGTCGAACTGAACAGCCAGCTCGTTGGTCACCGGCGAAGGCGCCGAAACCAAACCAATATCCTCGGCCTTGCCTCCCAGGTCAAGGATGATAGCCGACTCGGCGGCTTTACCATTGACCGGACTTTCTTGATACTGAGCGACCCGACCAGAGTCGGGGGTTGAGATGAAAAGGGTATCAATCTTTTGTTGTGGATCCTTAGTAGTGAAACAGAAGAAGTAGCCTGGGGAATATCGCTCGGCAAGACGAGTGGGTGAAAGTGTGGTAATCTGACCAGCAGAAGGTAAAATTGTGCCAAGAGGTGAAACAAGTGAGTTGGGGGATGCCACTCCGCTCACGCCGGGGGAAATATCGACAGGTGGTGTTTTGACATGCAGTGCTTGCATGCTTGTGGGAGGACTGGTGGTGGTCGACGCAGGCGCCCAGCTGTTTGAACCAGTAGCGCTGAGGTAGATGCGATATCCTGTCACCGTTGTTGCAACTAGATGATACCGCGACGCTTCTGTGGCTGGCACCGGACTGATTGACACAATCTTGACTCTGGGGTTGAGGGTTTCGTTTGAGGTGATGATGTGCCCGATATTAGAGTAGATATCCAGAGCGCGTTTGGTGATTGCAAGTGTCAGACTGCCCTCAGGTCCCATGTGGAATACGCGGATTGTAGACGCGGAGGAGAGTGTGTAGAGCAAGTTCCGACTGTCGTCAAGTGCCATCTGCACTACATTTTCGGCGGCGCCTTGTGCGAGATTTGTCAGGCTCATCGAAGGCTTAAAAGCCGATAGACGCGAGCTGGTATGGTTGACTCTGCCACAGCGGCCCTGGAACCACCTTTCCTCCTGTTGGTAAGTGACCTCGTGCACATCGGTGTCAGACGACCCTCCAAAGAAAATGCGGCCAGTAGATGCCGATGCTGCGAAAACATTGATATCCAAGCCACGGACTGCTACCGACATCCCCGTGTGATACAAAGAAACCTGGCGACCTCCGCTGGGCGTGTTCTCATAGCCCATCCCCAGCAGAATGATGTCCGCAGTCGTCGCAATGACCAGCAAATGGGTGATCGCAGGCAAGAAAACCCCCGGGCGCGGTTTGGTCAGCTTGACAGCATTGATGCTGTTAGGCTGTTCCTCGAATCCCACCAATTGCGGGTTGGGGTGGGTGAAATCCCAAATGTACAACGCATTGTCAATCGCGACCCACGCGTGGTTTAATTCAGCAAACAAACCCATGCTGGTCGAAACTTGTGCGCGGTTATATTGATCGAAAATCTGGTCGGGGATGTCGTACATCTTGACTTTTTGAAATGGTGCCCATGATTGAGATATGGGGATGTTGTATTCAGACGAGGAGCCCTCTGTTTTCAGGTCAGTCTTGTTCGGACAATGTTAGCTGTGGAATCTTACGAGATAAATAGCTATCAAGGTCTGGATAACGCGACTCGCTTTGCAAGCTGCTATTGATCGTTCGCGCCCCGCGTTCCTCGGTGCTCACTGTTTGATTTTTGGTTTTCGAGGCTGCTGGAGGGAGCTTTGGCATGGGCGTCTGGGCTTCCATCTGCAATGGCGACTTGGCGGGGAGAGGCCGCGCGGTAGCTGGCGCCGGGGTCTGGAAGTAAGCCCCAGGAAGGGGTTTCTGCGGCGTCGCCGGGGGAGATTTGTTGGAAGAGTCGGATACGACATGGCGGCGGTTTAAGAGGGAGAAAGGGACGATCCCCCGCTAGGAATCACAAAGAAGCTGCAGTGTAGGTCGGACGAGAAAAGGAAAGTAAAAGATATGTGGGGGAATGACGATGAGAGAAGGTCTTGGGAGGAGATTGGATTATTCAAGGTCTTTGCGAAAAGCGAGAGAGTCAACACCTGGGAGCGCACAGACCAATTGGGATCTTCCGCCTTCACGCTATTGTTGATTGTCTCCCATTTGCATTGATCCCTCAATTGAGCTTGTTTCTTATTGTCTGAATTGTCTATCAAAATGTTTCAATCAATTCGTTTTTCTTCACGCCTACCAGCTCGTCTGGTACGGTGGAATTCCACCGGTCCGGTCCTGCCACCCTTGATGGCTACTTTGCGGACTGATCTGAAAACTGCCATGAGAGCCAAAGACACCACCAGGTAGAGACCCTTTCCACCTTTTGTTGGGTTCAACAAGCTTATTATTAGACT